GAAAGCACTATACCCTAAAGATTTACTAAACTGTATTACCTATTCATTTAAAATTTTCCAATCAATGGATACTGTTTTAGAACAAGAAGTTTAGCAAAATCTCTTGGTACAGCAGACATAATAGGCAGAAATTTTTCCTTGGGTTTTTTTTGTTACCTTTTGACTTACACTTGCTAATTTTCTAAAGGTCTTTCGAAACTTTCTTTCGGACAGGACAAGATCCTCAAAATGTTATGTAAAAGCACTCTTGGACCCTTGTGCTCTTTCTACGAGGGTAGGTGGACAGATTTGGAAGGTGGTTAAACAAATGAATTAATGAACTTTATAACAATAATACCAGCTATAAAAAAGCTACTTCTGATCAGCTTTTTTGATTTCAAGGACTTTGAAATGGTTTCCCTAACAACCTAGTTGGATTAAAAAACAAAAATAAATCCATTATCATAATCTTTTTTTAATGTACAGCTTGTATTCTCTTGAAAAATGCTGGGGTAACAGCATTAAAGATTGATGCTCTTTAAGCAGAAAATAGATACACCCCTGGCGGCAGCCACACTGAAAGCCTCCCAGTGCTGCCCTCCTAAAATGCTCCATCCCCAGTCAGTCTGGGTAGGTTAAAAGGATCCCACTCACTCAGTCCCTTGCAGAAGTTATCAGTAAAAGTGCAAATGAATTCTGATTATGATGACTTTTTTTTTTTTTAAACAAAGTTGACATCCACTCTTGCAGAGGTGCAACCCTTCAAATCCATTTGGTTAAGCTATTTATACAGGTTTCTTCTATGATCTTCTGTGGCATCCAATTCCACCGAGAGCACAGAGACATTGATGCCTGGTAAATTGCCAGTAATCAAAGGTTGTTAAGGGCTTGTCAGCTTCCTTTCAAGCTTAGTCTATCTTTATCCCGAGGAAGACCTAGTTCAGCAGCTACAGACCATTTACTCGTACACTGGTAACACCCAGGAAGTGTGCATTATATCATTCAAATATTCATAATACTGCAGAAACATTTATTCTCAAGCAATCTCATTTTTCTGAAATAAGACCGTGCCCAACAAAAAGCAAATTTGTGTCTTGCCTCTGCCACAAGGCTGCTCTCTGACACGTGAAATGCTTTCTTTCCCAGCTCCTCCTCTCTCCTTTAAGCCCTCTCCCCCAAGGCTTCTGTTTAGTTTAGATTTTGCAATATACAGAGGGAAACACACGTGATTTTAGAGTTTCAGTTGCACTTGGTGCTTATTCCAGTTTTCCAGTTGCTGTCTCCTGTAGTAGTAGTAGTTTGATGGCCACAAAAAAGAGTCAGATAACCTAAAATGTTAAAAGTTTAGGGTTTACTCTTAAGATACAAAGATCTTCTTTCCAGGCTTGTTGATTAAAGCCCTCTCAGCCATAAAATAATTAATTGAAAAAACCTGAAGCAAGCCATCAGTTGGGGCAGATTAGTACAGCTCCACTGAAATGACAAGCCCACAGCAGTTAATGCTACCTGTGCCCTAGATTCAAAATATATTCAGAACTATCTGGTATTAAAAAAAAAAAATTTGTGAAGACACTTCCTAGCCTTTTGAAGAAATGCATATTAAAGCTAAATGCTCCTGGTGAAATATGAGAGGAGGATACATATGTCCATCCTATCAAGGTTTTGAGATCTTTGTTGGATAGAAAAGATATGGTTGTAGGGAGACTTAAAGAAATTCTGAATGTTAAATTAGTCATGAAATACTGGTATCAGCAGAAAGCTTTGGAGAACACCCAAGACACAATTTAATTTAGAGGTAGGGATGATCATTTATTATTAATAAAACTTTCTGTTGTAGGAGTCCTGTGCTTAGCAAGTCATAACCGTTTTGCGAATCCGTCATCCCAAACCTTACAGGAGCGCAACTCTGAAGCACTCTGTCCCCAGGGCCACCTTATACACATAGTAGGAGGATTACAGTTGTCTGTGGCGAAGCTGCATGCCAGCTTTTTTTGTCTCAGTTTTTAAAAAAGAGAAATGTGCGTAAGCTGATACAGTGAGATAACTGTCTTCACCACTAGTCTAATGTGTCCCATCATTTTTCTTCTGCACGGTCCTGGTTACAGTAAATATTTGAAAGCTCAGCCCACGAAGTGAAAACAAATCTCTCTCCTCCATCTACCTCGTTCCACTGGTCACATATCCATATGTGTGTATATATATATACACATACACATACACGTGTGTGTGCGCACACGCGTTTCTATGCTGCACTGTGGCAAGTTCTTATTAAACTTTCCTCAAGATATGGACCTTTGTTTAACCTTTATATTTCCAGATTGATCACCAGTTGCTCACTGTTGACCCACAACAGTCTCCAATGTATTTTTCTTATATTTTGCCTATAAAACCTGAAAACATTTCCACATCATATTTTTTTCCCCAGAACATCTGAATGTTAGTTATGTGGACTGTTTTCTGACAAGGACCACTAAAGCTTACAATTAGTGCCCAGCTACGAGTAGGGGGACGGTTTCCTTTGGCAGTGCAAGATGCTGTGCAATACTGCGCAACGAAGGATGCAGAAGGCATACAAGTTCTTTTCCCCAACAGCAGCTTAGTTCCCATCAGACATTTCAAAATCAGACCACTGAGATGCAGTCAGAGACTGAATGACATAACCCTACCAATCTGTGCATAATATAAAATGCTTCGCTGCTTTAGCAATTCTCCTTTGCCTCTCTATTTTGGGCATACCGTGTTGCTTCCAGGACTTTGACAGTTTGAGGCCAGTTACAATCAGCAGCTTGAGGGCTGCATTTACATTTCAGGCAGCCATTTTCTTCTTTTCCTAAACCCTCTCTCCTCATGTTCAGGCTGGAAATAAATGATGCTGCGAGCACTGCACCTGGGAAGGCTGACAGTCTGCAGTGCCCAGTCTGGTTCTGCGTACTGATAGCTAAACAAATCTGATGTATCCTCACACAGTAGCCTTACTGCTTCTGTTCCTGAGTGCACCATATCTTCAACTTACTTAAACAATATCTAAACAAGCTCACTTATTTTAAAATCATAAAATGAGAAGCCTAGCTCTATAGACACATTCCTTTCAGATTATTTGAAAGATCTCTTCACTAACTTGCAGCAATTGCTCAATGTATGGATGCATTTCACAATTTTCCAAGTGCATGCATCCTGAATGCTACAGGATCTCATTCCCCTCCTAAAAAGCTCCCATGACCTACAATTTTGGGCCTTAATTTACCACTACAAGGTGCTGCCGTAAAGTAGCACATAGTTACTGGTACTAGACCCATCCTCTGGATGCAATCAATGCTCTTTGTGCATAAACACAGCTTAAGGAGCAATAAACAAAACACAGTCACTCTGCTCCCTCAAAACAGGGTAGATTGCACATCAGTATTTTGGTTAGTCAGCCACCTCTCCAGCAATCAGAATAAGCAACTTAATTACATACGATATTTTTGGAACCTGAAAGCACTGTTACAGCCACCTCTTAGAGGACGCGATCTATCTGCATTTACGGTGCTTTCATCTGTAAATTCATCTTTCAAGTAAAAGCAGGCCATATTCTTACTTGATATAAATTTATATTTGCTCTTACCTTGAAAAATCCCAAACCTATGTGCCACACGTCAGTATTAACTGATTTCTGCTGAGCAGAACCACAGGCCCCCAAACAAGTTTGAGAGGCTTCTCATGCCAACGGCTTGATGGGTCTGAGGGACACCACAGGCCATTACGATCATCAGGGTGATAGCAGTCTTGTCTTACCCTGAATTGTGCCTGTGGCTAAAGTATCAAAATATTGTAACATTTAACTTGCTCGCCCTTCGTGTTTCCTCCGGCGTGAGACCTACAATATCATTCGCTTGCTAACTCTGGAAAGTTCATGTGACTTCCATCCCGGATTTCAAGAACTCTGAAACCACCCAACTAGTTTCACATCAATTTTTCTCTCCACTCCTACCCATCAAGAGCACTGCAAGATCTCTGTAAGATCTTTTAAGCTGCACTGCAGGGAGTCAACGCGCTTTTAGGCGATGGCAGTGTACCAATGTTAATTTGACTAACCTAGTTCAACATGCAGTATGCAATTATTTCCTACTCTCTTGATGTTTTTTTTTCCCCTCCAGCCTGTTTTCAATTTAATTTATACTTTGGTAAGGATTCTACCTTTAGAAAAGATAGCTAGTCCACAAGCCTTCCATTATGCTGCAGCTGCTGCTGTTATATTTGGCACTGCAAAAAAAATCTCACCTTGCGTGACAATGGGATTTGAATCATAATTGCTAAATATATAATGTATAGAAGTTTGATTGCTTTACTTTTTTTCCTGAAGGGGGGAAATGTGAGGGCAAAACCTTACAGTTTATTTCATGCTTCACTACAGTGTAATTCTAGACCCTAAGATTTCTACCATTCCTATTTTGGTAATGAATGGAATGTAAAAGGGAGGTATTTAAAATTAATTGCAGCAGTCTGAGGGTTAAACCTGCTTAACCCAACCTTTTATTAAGAGAATGTCAACAGAGCATATATCTTGTCTAGGGAGTGCTGGGACATCATTATTCTTCTACCAGCATGTTTAGTTCTAAAACCTGGGATTTCTTCAGGTTCCTGTAGCCGCCATGCACACCATATACCCATCCCAAATTATATCATCTGTTCTGAGCTACTCACTACAGCAGGATTTGACCTGAGAAACTCTAGAGTTTTGTTTTACTTTATTAACTTGGAGTACTTTTAAACAGTTTTGAAACATTTTTTTTCCCTCAACCAGCAAGGGAATTTTCAGCCTGAAGTTCTCAGCAGCATCCGGTGAGGCTCTTGGCCAAGTTCTTCAGATACTGTACATCCACAAGGACAGCCTGCTGGCTCTTGCTGTGGCATTTTCTTACTCCTCAGAACAGATTTCCTGGATCTAGGAAATTTAATTCCTGACTCCTTCGACCCAGATGCTGGCGAAAATGTAGTCTGCAGTCTGTACCTAATTGGTTGTGTTCATTTTTTTTTTCTTTCTAAGAACTGGCCTTGCTGTTAAATTTTTCTAAAACAGTCATATTAATATGTTCAAAAATCCACTGTTGAGTTTCAGATAAAGGATCACATCTGTTCATGAAAATCTTCTTCTCGGCTGGGTTGCAATCTATGCAGCTGCTGCTTACCGGATGGAACAAAGTTTTGTCCTACAGGAATAAGAAAAAAATAGAATTAAGTAGCAAATGCCAAGTCATTGGGAAGTGCTCTCATTTTACAGAACATGGATTAACATAGCCCTGTCTGAAAATGATTTTGTGGTCTCTGTGCGCTAACCTTGTGTAATAACCACAGCTATTACTAGGAAGCTGCAGAGAATGGAGTGCTTTTTCCCTTGGGTTATTATCCTTCACAAAATTGGGGATTCAAGAAAGAGGGAGGAGACATCTTCTTTAATGAACAACCACATAATATAGTGAAAGAAATAGAATGTATTTTAATAATCTTTGCTTACCGCGTGCTTCCCTGGATCCTATTTAAATGTCTGAACCCAGAGAGTGTTTTTTTTTTTTGTCTTTCGATTTGTTTTTGACAGTTTCTACTGTGCTTCTGGGCAGGAGGATCTGTAACAATCTGTCTGGAAAATGGATACTCTTAAGCTTGAGGAAGATGTTAAAAAGCAGTTATGAACTGAAGTGGTGTGATGGACAGACAGACTGCGGACTGACGATCTCAGTTCTCACCCCATGAAACGCAGACTTTGCCTATGGCCTCAATAAGACCAGCCACTGAAACAGGCTCTCTCTCTCCTAACAAGAAGGAAATCCTAACAGTGTTTTAGCTCCCTATGGAGACTTTGGGAGGATAAGCATGGATTAAGTTGCTTTAGAAAGGATATTTATGATGATTAGTTTTATTCATTTTTACTTCACAAAGCTGGAGCAAATTGTGAATAATCTGTGAATCTTCAGTGAGGCATAAACTACCCAGATGAGAAACCAGTAACTGTGGGTTGGGTAGTTTCAACATACTTCGTTTACGTAGGCTAGGGTTTGAGAGAGACAGATGTGGGAGCGATTAGAGGGTTTGCAAGTTTCCAGGGGCTATGAACTTACTGTATCTGTTGAAATAAATTTCAGATTACTCTCTGTAAAATGCATCCAGGCTTTTCCCCTCTGTGCCAAACATGCCCTGCCAATATTTTAATAGTAATCCAGGATGTGCCTGCTTGCCTCGTTTGTGAGGAAAAAAAAAGGCTACTTGTCAAATTGCAATTGATTAAAAACTCACAGAAGTGCTCTGGGTGCTGAGCAACAATCATACAGATACTTCTCTTTAACTAAAAACACCCCATATTCAAAAAAAAGAAATATGAAGAAAAAAATTAATATAACACAATAAACATATCTAAGATAGTAGCTATTTAAAAACACTTTTGAAAAAGAAAGGTTGGGGTTTTTTTTTGTTTGCTTTAATTTAGGAAAGATGAAATGGATTGATTTTGGGGGTTGTGAAACACTGGTAAAGTACAGTGACCCTTTTTTATATTAACATATTCAACAAAGAGCAAAGTCAAGAGCATCTTGTGCTGTGGCTGGGGGTGATGGTGTTACACCTGCCTTTCACAAACACCGGTTTTCACCCACAGCATCTGCCCTTCCCCCAAGACAGTGGGTAAACACATGCATACGCAAGATTGTAATTCAGAGGGATGCTGTCAAAGCTGACAGGACTAACCCAACCGGGTCGAGGCCTTTCTGTCCAGGTAGGATACTCCATCTTGCAAGAAGGGGCTAACTGTGCTGTCTACAAAGGGCTGTCATGTCCTCACTTGGAGGTGGGCCTGCAAGAACTCCCAAGCACCCTACAGGGTGGTGCAGGCACCTGTTTGCACCTTGCCAGCTCCTATGGTCCTTCTGTGAGAGACTGATGGAGGGGGCACTGCCCAGAACCAGGAGACAGTGACTGTGCCGCAGCCACCCCACGCGCTGTGGGGCCTTGGAGGAAGGTGGTGTCTGGTTTTCCTTGCATCATAGCTGGGCATGAGGATCAGGCAAGCTGTTCGGAAGCCAAAGCTGGAATACCAGAAGCTTTAATAGGATGGCTGGTACAAGAAGAAAGAAAACGGCTTCAGTACAAAAAGCGTGCTATGAAAAACACTCCAGCCTTTCCGAAGAGAGCTGGCAGTCTTCTCACAGAAATACCCAGGGGATGCAATTTTTGATTGAAGCATTGTTGGTGCTTTCTTTTAGAAAGTCTGGTTATTAGGAAAGAAGAGCATCTTTTAAGAACAGGGACACAGTTACCACTCTAGAAGAACCTCTGGCTGACTTAGCCATATATAAAGGCCTATTAATTTATCATCTCAAGCTTATGCTGACCTAAGGTCAAAGCCTGCTGCTCTTATGGATTTCAATGGAAACAGGCTCAGGACTTTAAGGTGTAACAGTTGCATGCATCCCTGAGAAGAACTTTCCAAGAGAAATATATAAATTCCTCTTTACACCAATATTAAAAAGCCACAAGAGCTCTTGTGGAGACTTTTCTAACATCTGAAAACAGCAGAACGATTTTTTTTTTTTCTTCTGCATGAAGGCAAGTCTGAAGATTATTTGCAGAAAGAGAAACTTCTCCATAAGATAATGGGCCTTGACAGTTCAGGGGGTTGGTAATGAGACACAGACCCTTTCATTTCTTCTAGGTCACTGCTATAACTATGGCCAAGGTCAATAGCAACTGGAAGCCATTATCAGCTGGTGGCTGCAGTAGTTTATCTGAAATTAGTTGGTAGCCCCAAAAAAAGCCACTATCACAATGACATGTCTTCGGTTGTCTGAGGAAATAATCTATGTACCTACTGTGTGAAGAGTGAACTTACTCTCACAGTTTGTCCCTGAAGCTGTCAGGAGAGTATGAGCAAACCACGCTGTTCTGGGCATGTTTTTTGACGTTGTCAGTCTAGTATCTATCATAATCACTAGGCTCAGGGTAGAATTACAGTATAATGAAACTGATTTTGCACAATTGTTTCTTTTTAAAGATGTACTAAATCAGACCCCTCTTGGATACTTGTGCTCTACAAATAGCACTAATGGGACTGGAGCACATAAATTTAATCACACTTTATCAGAACCAATGTATTACCTGCCAACCCAGAATGATGCCACATCAAAAACCAGAGGTGTATTCCTTCACTGGGAGGAATGGAAATTTGTAGGCACTGTTGAGCTTTGGCTCGGGCATGCTTAGGAATCTCACAGAGAGTCAAGGAAATGGCTTTAGCTTGGGAAGCCACTATTCTCCCAAATCTCTGACAATTTCAGGCTATTTAATCTATCTAATTTCTCACATTGCTCCCATCATTGATGGGAGCCCCATTATGGTGTCAATATTTTTCTTCCCCAGTATTAAACTCATTTTCTTCTATTTCCAACCCACACTGGTGTTTGCAGTATTACTTGGGTTCATTTCACTCCATCAGCGCTTACAGGGATTTCTTAAAGGTATACTTGGCTGCTTTATTATAGACCAATATTTTGGATTGGTCCTAAAAAACCCTGATCACTTAATCACAGACTTACTAGACTTTCAAATAGTTGCTCAGATGTAGTTTAACACGCAGCCATATATGTGATTAGCAGCTTTTTGACACATGTTTATTAGTGGCAGTTTTGGTTTCATTCATCTGAGAAGAACCCAGCTTGCACACTCTGGGACTGCACTGCAATGAGGAACAAAGTGCAGGTAATGGGAGCAAGCTGGAATTTTTTTCAGAAGAGCACTCCTTACCCAAAGTAAAATATTAAAGTATTCTCCTTGCCACTAAAATATTTAAGCTGGTTTTATTTACCAGTATCCAAATACAGAATGTTAGGGTTTCTATGCTATAAGAATATGGAATCTGGAAACAGTGCCTGGCTTCAAACTTTGTAATCAGTTCACAGCCCTAACTTCTTACCAGTGGCTCAAGGATGCAAATGGTCATGAGAAGAAACTCAACCTTGAAAGAATAAAAACCTTTTATCTTCTAGTTTTATGGGAACAGTATGATAGCATGGTAAGGAACACTTCATATTAAGTATCTTTTAAGATACTGGACAAGCAAGGTCATTTTTCCTAAAACATGGGAAGAATTATTGGCAGGACGGATACGTGACCGTTAGGAAGCTACAGAGTCTGTAAGTGGTGCAGAGAACAGAACAGAATTGCTGACCTGCGCTCTGTTTTTTAAAAGGAGGCCCTTCTTGCTTAACGAGACTACTACTCTTATTGATTTAGGATGCAATTTTAGTTGCATACCATGCTCCAGGTAAAGGGCTCTAGTACAGATGCAGTTAAAATTGATATAAAATCCTTTTCTTGTAGAGTTTTTTGGGGGGGGAGGGAAACAGTATAAATCCTATTGCCAAGATGCTTTCAAAACAAGATAAGGATTATATCATCAGGATTTTGGAGGTATAGCTGTACCACCAAAAATCTCTAATGTAAATCTGCCCTGTATCTGAGGAAACAGACTATGTGAAGCAATAAAAAACTACTTACTGTGTAGCCAAACTAAAACTAAGCCTAAAGAAAAGCATATATACATAATTCTATTATTCCAGTGTAGTTTCTTAATTTGAAGGTGTATGCAAACTAATCAGCTTGCTGTCAGGTTGGTATTACAGTTAAGACTGTGTCAGTACTTCCATCATAACAGAATTTTGTGGTGTTTCTTGCTGAGATAGAAATGCCTACCTTGCATTGAGAATTTTTATATGAGCCCTGTCAGCCTTCTGGAAATGAAAAATGGAGCTGTGCAGAGGATTTAATAGAAATCACACTGTGTATTTTTTCAAATGTCTTTTTTTTTAGTTATCTGCTGTATTCTGTCCACATCAAAGGTAATGAGCCTTAGAGAGGGCAGCTCCAGACCTGCATTTTGTCTTATGAACTGGCTACATTAGGCACCAATGAAGTGCTAAAAGTATGAAAGCTTCTTTCTTGCAGCTTGGGTAGGCAAAAAGATAAATCGGAAGGGTTCTGAAGCCAGAAAGTATTATTATGGCATTATAAAGCCAGATATGCTGCAATACAGTCATGACAATTTATGTCCTCTGAATATCTGGCCCATACTTTCCAACTTTATGACAGGCAATACCTCAGTTTCAAAGGGATGACACTTCTGGAAAATCTTGTGGTGGATCTCCAATTGCAACATAAATAGGGTAAAAAGGCACAGGCTAATAAGTAGGCACTCAGAAAAAGGCTCGGGGCAAAACTATTTTTAACGGTTCTGAATTAGTTTTCTACAATGTATAATTTCAAACTAGAAAGCACTGTTGAGGTTTATCTGGCAAAGCCCAATTGCTGGCACTTCGGCCTCAGCTTAAGCAAGGTAGTGGGCAAGGCGCAGCGGTCACAGCAAAGTGAAGGATGTCTGAGAGGAATCCCCAGCGCTTCAGAGACATGTATGTCCTTATCCTACACGGAATGCAGAGTTTATTAGTGATCTCTTTAACCAAGCAACTTGCTGATTAACCATTTAAAAAACCTAACAACAACAACTCGGTAGCATTGCCAGGACTTTTTGCCCTAAATGGGGCTCTGATGGTTTTTAGCTTGACCTCCTGTTTCCAGTGATTTATAAAAGTGGGCTGAAACTTAGCAGATCAAAGCAGTGTCTAAGCTCCTTATCTTTAATTTATAAACTCCTGCCTTCTTTGGGCTTACAACAGGCCTTTTAATGTTGGGTTGGTTTTTTTTTTTTTTTTTGAGGGAGATTTTTCTGCCACTTGTAATCTTTAAAATGTTGTAAAATAATAATACTTATTTCATGAGCAGCATTTCTTGCTGCTGTCACATTGGATGAAAATATTTCCAACAGTGCCTCTGTTAAAATGACACAAGCATCTTGAAGCGCCAGAATGGTAAAACACCTTTCAGGGAACAGATCCAACACAGACACCCTCTGAGCTGGATCAGATCCATTTTCATTTAAATTTGACCTAAATAGCTGAACACTTAAAAGGAACATACTCTAGAGAGATTACCACAAAATTAAATTAGAATAAAACTGGGTGGGTTTTAAAACAAAACTTCTCTAAGGGGAAAACACAAGCTTGTGCTAAACTGAATATAGGCTCAAGGCAGTCTGAACCTCTGAGATGCCCCAGAGTGACTCCAACCTTCCTATAGCTCCAGTGCTGGTTTCCCTTCATCCCGTGGCAGTCGTACAGCGTGACGGGGCTACTGTGCGAAATGGCGTCGAAGCAGAACTTCCTAGTGTGAAGCGGCTCCCCAGGGCGGATGTCTTCCCTCCAACCAAAGGTGAAGAGCTAGAAAAACAATCAGGCAATACAACGCTACGTTACTAGCGAAAAACGTTTAAAATCACACACAAAGCCTGACGCGTGTTTCCCTACCCCGCACATCCCAGCTGCTGGTTAAATGAGATCCTGCCCGCGTACGATTCGGCGATGCTGACTGCCTTAAATCAAAGTGCGTCAGCGGTGATGTGGAATACAAGCCCAGGAAGGCACAATCCCTAAGGCTGGGGAGAAAACAATCTCTGGCGACGCGGCGATGTGGAGAGGAGAGGGGATATGCTGTATTAAAGCCTTTAGTTACCCCAGTTAAAGCCGCACTCGTGAGCACTAGGGCTACAGCTACCTAGGACACAGAAAGCCTCTGCTAGCGATGTTCCTCCAGCTCTCGCTTGGGTCTGAAGCAGCTACCTAGAGAGATCTTCCCATCATAGCATCTTTCCCATGTTTAATGAACAGATTCCTTCTCTTCACATGGGACGCTGTTAGCATATCCTCTCTTGACTATCTTTCTCCCCCTGAACAACACACGTTAAATGATCTTCACCTTTCTCCTGCGAAACCTGCGAGCTACAGGCAGCTTGTTACAGCCCTTTTTGTCGCTGCCTGGGAGGAATCGTGGGGGCTCACAGTTAATAGAGGAATCCTTCTCAATCAGACACCAGCTGTCTGAAATGATGCTGTGCCTCTGCAGCCTTTCAATCATCAGATGAAGGTGACAGGTCTGACAGCACCAAATTTAAAGATGCAGAGTGCATTTTCCTTTCCCATGGACCAATCCTTGCAGAAGACAGGTTGCCGGTTGTAAATTGCTCCCTGGAAGCTCTGCTGAGAGCTGTGAGGGGTTTTTTTTTCCTCCCCCCGCCCCCCCTTTTCTTTTTTTTGGTGTCAGTGCTATTCTTTGGCTTTCTCCGTGACTTTTTATTTTCCATTGTATAAACAGAAACATAACACTGAGAAAGTGAAGCTCTCTTTAAACAAGCAAACTTTGCTAGTGGAAGCTATTTAGCTGTGACGGTTCGTGTGGAACTGTGCTCAGGCTCGTTATCCAGAGCAGCGGCTCCCGGGCTGTGCTCAGGCTGCCTCCAGCACTGCAGCCACCTCATCTCAGGGTCCTTTCGGTCCTAGCACCCTGCTCCCAGTAGCGTGTATATTCCCTGATAAAACCAGTATCTACAAATCCACACTGAAGTTTGGTGTTGTATGGGTCTGATCCTGAGTACTTCTGTTGCATTTTCCAGATTTTAATCCTTTCATTACAATAGCTATCTTCTTTCCATGGTCTTCATAAAAGATACAGCTTTTAAAAATACTCAACTTCAATGCTGTACTATCCTCCAAATGCCACATTTGAGAGATGCTACTGTTTCCCTTGGCCTGCAAGCGTAAAATACAAGCATATATCTGAATATTTGCCTTTTTTTGTTTGTGTGCATCTGTGCTGGTTTTGGCTGGTGTAGAGTTAATTTTCTTCAATGTAGCTAGCATGGGGCTATGTTCGGATTTGTGCTGAAAGCAGTGTTGATAACACTGGGATGGTTTAGTTATTGTGCTGAGCAGCGCTTACACAGAGTCAAGGGCTTTTCTGCTTCTCACCCCACCCCACCAGCGAGCAGGGTGGGGGTGCACAAAAAGCTGGGAGGGGACACAGCTGGGACAGTTGATCCCAGCTGACCAAAGGGATATTCCACACCATATGACATCATGCTCAGCATATAAAGCTGGGGAAAGAAGGAAGGGGGGGGGCGGTTTGGAGTGATGGTGTTTGGAGTGATGGCGTTTGTCTTCCCAAGTTACCATTATGCATGATGGAGCCCTGCTTGCCTGGAGATGGATGAGCATCTGCCTGCTGATAGGAAGGAGTGAATGAATTCCTTGTTTTCCTTTGCTTGCATGCATGGCTTTTGTTTTACTTATTAAACTGTCTTTTCCTCAATCCATGAGTTTTCTCACTTTTACTGTTCCGATTCTCTCCCCCATCCCACCAGGGGGGGAGTGAGTGAGCGGCTGTGCGGGGCTTGGCTGCCGGCTGGGGTTAAACCACAACAGCATTTCACTGTAAGCCCTTGTTCTCTCTGTTAGCTGCTGTCACTCCCTATTTACTTCTGTATTATAGTTTTCTAGACAGCACTTTCTCCATCTACCCCTGTGTCCTGCTTATTTCTTCTTTCCCCTTGAGTGCGTTTTTCATTTATCTGCAGTAAAATGCAGTGGACAGCTTTAACTTCATTTTCAAACCAAATCCCGCCTTTTACACGTTTAAGTCTTTTTCTACTCTTCTTCATGTTTCTTGGAAGCAGCATCATGGACTACCTACAAAGATAACATCATTTCACATGCAAACTCAGAAGTAAGATTTGGTACAGAAAAAAATCTAAGGTGCTGCTGCTTTAGAAAAAGAGAAGCCTGAGATGATCTTCCTGTAAGTTAAAAACAACAAAAGCCATTTCTTTTCTCTTACCCTTTTCCTTTCTATAGCTAAGTAATAAACCTAGAGCTCAAAGTGATGAATAACAAATACCTGGAGGAACTGGCATGGAACAGCGGTTCTGTGATATTCTCACTCTCATCAGTACTACGAGAGAGATCTTCTTGCAGGACCTACCTCATCTTTCCCAGTGGGTGGCTGTCCAAATTTCTCATTCTGTGCATGACTGGTGAGCTGAGGGGCCAATT